TGATATTTTTTAATAGGTCGCTTAATTACGTCTTTAAGATTACAATGACGCTTTCAGAATCATGTTTGGTTGAAAATTAACGCTTGTACAGAGGCTTAAAGTTCATAACTTTTGGAGCCTCCGTTATAAACAAATAGAATTGTGCGAAAACTATTGCACCTACAGCGCCCACTTTTGCCACACTTTTAAAGTACGACAAAACCCTCATCTTGTCATAGGTTTTATAAAATTTTAACAATAAATGCGATAGTTATTAACAAATTAAAAAATGGGCACTTTTCTTGTTTTTTTGCAATAACTTTTTGGTTTATTAACCGATTTTAATTTAACACGTCTCATTTTGTAGATAATTTTACTCCCTACAAGCTGTATGTGAGCCACTTTTCCTAAAATTGATGGTTTTCCCTGCCAGGTGAAAGAACTGTTTTCCTCACTTATTTGTTTAAACAGAAAAGTTAGCTAATAAAATTTTTTGACTCACGAGATGAGAGATGTCTTGTATTATATTCCTTTAAACAATTTTACATAATCTCGATCATAGGACTTTTTTCGAGTTTCTCTATTATTTTCGCTAATTTTCCTGGTGTATAACCATAACGATCGTTCCGACATAAATAACTAACTATTCTCGCTGCCTTTGTCGACTCTACTTCTCAGAAACCAAATATCCACCAACGCTTACGTAACAGATTGAATATTTGAGGATATGCAAATAAAATCTGGATTTCCTTGGTCTTCGCACATTAAGAATTCGAAAACAGTTTTTATATAGCACCTGATGTCATTGGTCGCTAGTTTGTTGCTTGATAAGAACGATCTCTCGAAGAGGAAATATGTTTACCGAAATTTAAGTCGTTAAAAACAACTTTTTTATCATCGGATTATATATAAAAAAAGGTGTTTTATCATCACTCCAGTTGACATGTAATCATTTGCTTACGACTATAAATAAACTTGGTTAAAAAAGTGCAAGTTTTAATAATTTATTTAATCTTTCGGTTGATGACCCGCGCATACGAAACAGTGATTTTGAATGAAATTAAACTATACTGCACAATTCTCATTATTTTAATTTCAACTTGTGAAAAAAAAAATAGTTATTTTTATATCCAGAACGCGAAATAGTACTTTTGCATTCAGACAATTAATTGTGTTACAATTATACAACAATTTAATTTATACATATTTGAAATCGTTTGAATCGTGTTATAATAAACCAGGCAGGGATATGAGGAAAATGCCGTGACTGTTGAATAGCCAGGGATCTGTAGTTTTTCATAAAATTTGAGTGGATTTTAGTATAGTATGTGCAAAACCCACACACCATCAGATGGTCACAATAAAAGGTCTAAAATAACCCAAAATATCACGTTTTTGCCTACCAGAAAAAAAACGATCATTTTTATTATAATGTGAAAGTAACCAACTTGTAGGGAATAAAAAAACCTTTAAAATGGCGGTTTTTAAAATCCGTTACAATTTGTTGCTCGGGAAATTGCAAAAAGCTGTCAAAATTCGATTATTACTAAATAAACAACAAGTTTTGCAAAAGTTAACCTACAACTTTGATATTGCATAAATAGTTTATAGTCCTTAAGATGTGATTAATATTTCAGACCGATTCATCCAATAGTTTTTGCAAAATTCTAAATGTTTGTCCCAGAGGCATTATTTTTGCAATAACTTGACACGCAAAATTACCAAGATATTTTAATTCTGCGGGTGTCATATGAAAGAGAAAGACTTCTTTTACTGGAAGGAATTATTTTATTGCAAAAAAATTGTTTTTTACCACTGCAAAAACGTACCACAAAAACACTGTCATTTTTGTCTTATAAACAATTAGAATAAATTTATTGCTATTATATTTAGAAATTATTTTTCCATATTCGTAAAGCTGGTATTTTTACACAAATTAAAAAAAAAGTTGCTCTAACTTAATTTGGGGCAAAGTTAGACACTTTCTTTTTTAAATCACAGCTACTTTCTTTATAACAATTAAGACTTCTAATAAGTGCAATTTCGAAGATAAAGAGCTAAAGTTTCTATGTGAAATTTTTGATGACGATAGCTTTGTAACAGGATCTCTGAGAATGCTCCAAATAATGACTTCGATACAAGATGACTGTGAGTCAGTGGAGGGGGAACCTACAAATCCACGAGCAAATTGATAGAGCAAGTTATATCTCTGGAACTTGACCGATTTTGATGTTTTTGATGTTTTTTTTTTAATTTGGGCTACCTTCTTACGTACATCACAAATATGCATTTTGTTAATAAATAAAAATTTAAATTAATCCAGTAATTTGTTTAAACATTAAAAAAAATTTTGCAAAATATCAACCT